AATTCAACCTTAGATTACACACTGGAAAAAGAGTGAAAAAGAATTAGTTTGGGGGTGTGTGAATCTTACAAGAGATGAAATAATATATTTGACCACTAAGGGTCGGGAATTGGAACAACTTGTGAAGTCATTAATGTCTACCTAGTTCTTCATACACACACGTCGATTTTGCATTAAAAAAAGTGGATATTGGTTTGGTATTGTGACTTTGAAACAGTTTGTAAATTTAATACGATGATCTCCATTCCCGATGTAAAAAGCTAGATCATCCAATCAAAATATTTTACATGTTTGTTTATTTGTTAAGTTAAGTTATGATTTTGTTTGAGGACAAACAAATGTTTAAGTTTGGGGGTGTTTGATAAGTGTATTTTATACACTTATGTAAACTTAAAAATATAGACATTTAATAGTTCTTTAAAGCAATTATAGCCTAATTTGTTGTATATTTCATTTATTAGGTAAAACTCAATAGTTGGAAGTTAAACTGAAAGAAAGAAGTGAAAAATGGCGAAAAACGATGAAGTACAAAGTTGATGACCAAATTGCAAATATTCAATGGTTGAATTGGACCATAAGAGATATTTTAAAGATTGATGGGAGTCAATTGGATGCAATTAGAAGTAAAAAAGGAATGGAATATCATCAGAATATTACCATAAATCGACTTCTAATCACATTATATATTTTCCAGATTTTTAGTCAAGGATTTACCACCAACTTTTGACATGGTTAACGTCCGAATTGGAAAATATCTATTTCCAGAAAAATTGTAGCCCTTTTAGTTATCTTTCCAACGCATTTTGAATCAACTCAATCGGATATTGAGAGACAAAGTTATGATCAAAATACTGATTGCTGTGTAGAGATAAAAAAATCCGCGCGCGAGTATAACTTTCCTTATTCTATTGGAACTCTTTTGGAAACCAATTTGGACGTGATATTTTGACCAATTTTCGACCACTACAGATACCCAACAGGAGAATACACAAAGGGGGCTTTCATACATATCTTTTATACATAACATACTCCAATATTTATCAATTATCATCATCAAACGAAGAAAATTCATTGTTTTTGTGAGAGAATTGAAGGGGACTTGCAAGAATTCAATCAAATGGAGATTCAAACTTGGTATTGGACAAAGAAGAGAGAGCGTAAGTGGAGATTTATTGAGAAACCATTGAAGAGATTCAAGATTTCAATATTTGTTTTCATCTTCTCAATTTATCAAAAATTCGGGTTATATCTTTCCACTTATATATGATTTCTTGTAATTTAAATATGTTAGGCTAATTTTTCATATTTACTAAGATGTGATGAACCCTTGTTATGAATTTTTAATTTGAATAATTTAATTGACGTTAAATTGTTTAATTGTTTGGATATTTATTATCGTTTTCATACTTTTCAATTAATTGGTCATTAGTTGAATTGTTTGTGAATTTTGTTGTCATCGAGAGAGAAAATAGGATCATTAGCACAAAATGATAAATATTGTGAGGTTCGATAGATGATTGAGATATACATGTATGCTTTACATGGTTTTTATGAATGATTTAGCTCGTTTAATGCATTTATCATGTTCGTATCTTTTATCGAGAGATAGGAAGGTCACATGAGGGGAATAGATTTAAAGGCTATGGAGAGAAACTTTTAGATAAAATAGGAAAATTAACCAACAAACATAATGTTAAATTGTCAATTTAAATTGTTGAACTAAAATGGAGTAGCAAGGGGGATTCCACATCTTAGCAATACTTCTCGAGTGTCGAACCCACGAGGACTATGTGTTTGATCGAGTTAAAACTAATAATTCCCTTAATCGAATAGCAAGGTCGAGTTGTAACTAACACTATTAAATCTATCAACCAAATAGAAAGCAAAGTAAAAGTTTATCAAATTTGCGAGAAGTATTGCTACTCTATTTTAGTTCAGCAATTTAAATTGACGATTTGAAATCATGTTTGTTGGTTAATGTTCCTATTTTATTTAAAAGTTTCTCTTGATAGCCTTTAAATTTATTCTCCTCATGTGACCTTCCTATCTCTCGATGAAAGATACGAACATGATAAATACATTAAACGAGCTAAAACATCCATAAAAACCATGTGAAGCATACATGTATATCTTTATCATCTATCGAACCTCACAATATTTATCATTTTGTGTTAATGATCCTATTGTCTCTCTTGATGACAACAAAATTCACAAACAATTCAACTAATGGTCAATTAATTGAAAAGCATGAAAATGATAATAAACATCCAAACAATTAAATAAATTAACGTCAATTAAATTATTCAAATTAAAAATTCATAACAAGGGTTCATCACATCCTAGCAACTATGAAAAATTAGCCTAACATATTTAAATTGCAAGAAATCGTATATAAGTAGAAAGACATAATCCGAATTTTTGACAAATTGAGAAGATGAAGACAAATCTTGAATCTTTTCAATGGTTTCTTAATAAATCTCCACTTGCGCTCTCTCTTCTTTGTCCAATACTAAGTTTGAATCTTCACTTGATTGAATTCTTACAAGTCTCCTTCAATTCTCTCACAAAAATAATGAATTTTCCTCCTTTGATGATGATAATTGATTAATATTGGAGTATGTTATGTATAAGAGATATGTATGAAAGCCCCCTTTGTGTATTCTCCTGTTGGATATCTGTAGTGGTCGAAAATTGGTAAAAAAATCACGCCCAAATTGGTTTCCAAAAGAGTTCCAATCGAATAAGGAAAGTTATACTCGCGTGCGAATTTTTTGTCTCTGCACAGTAATCAGTATTTTGATAATAACTTTGTCTCTCAATATCCGATTGAGTTGATTCAAAATGCGTTGGAAAACTAACTAAAAGGTGCACATTTTTTCTATTTTCTAGAAATAGATATTTTCCAATTCGGACGTTAACTATGTCAAAAATTGGTCGCAATCCTTGACTAAAAATATGAAAAATATATCATGTGATTGGAAGTCGATTTATGGTAATATTCTGATGATATTCCATTCCTTTTTGACTTCTAAATGCATCCAATTGACTCCCATCAATCTTTAAAATATATCTTATGGTCCAATTCAACCATTGGATATTTTCAATTTGGCCCTCAACTTAGTACTTCGCCATTTTTTGCTTCTTTCTTTTAGTTTAACTTCCAACCATCGAGTTTTACCTAATAAATGAAATATACAACAAATTAGGCTATAATTACTTTAAAAAACTATTAAATGTCTATATTTTTAGGTCTACATAAGTGTATAAAATACACTTATCAGTACATCTCTACAAAAACCAACGCACAAAGCTTGATTCGCGTGCTCTTCAGTGCCTCTTCTTGGGATATGCTATTCATCAAAAAGGTTATAGTTATTACGATCCAACTACTAGACGAGTCTATGTTACTTTCCTCGAGAGTAGTACTTTTTTCTTCCCTATATCCAATTATTCTCTTCAGGGCGAGACACAAGATGAAGAGCTAAATTGGATGAGGTTTGACTGGTTTAGTAGCACTAATAGTGGCACTAAGAATACAGAAACAGCAGTACCAACTGCTACTCAATCAATCGATAAGGAACTTGGTACAAAACCAAGTTTTGATATATCTCCTAAAGTTGAAATAGTACCCTCCACTCTTCAATACCTAACGACCAATCTCCTGAGAATATCATTGAGGTAAGTTCTCCTACTACATCTCTTATCTCAAATAATGAGGTTGATCGTCGTTATGAGCTACCTTTCAGGCATAATCATGGAAAACTGGGCAGGTACTCACCTGAGATCAAGATATCCTATTGCTAATTATGTATCTACAAAAAGACTACTTGAACCACTCAAGAACTTTGCTAATAGTTTATCTGCGCACCATATTCCTACAAGTATTGATGAGGCATTGAAAGATTCAAGATGGATTCAAGCTATGAAGGAAGAAATGGAGGCATTAGTGAAGAACAAAACTTGGGTCCTTATTCTTTTACCTGAAGGACAAAGGACAGTAGGTTACAAACGGTTATTTTCTATCAAGTGCAAAGCTGATGGAACAATCGAGTGCTACAAAGCAAGATTAGTAGCAAAAGGCTATACGTAGACATATGGGGTAGGTTATCAGGAGACGTTCTCACCAGTGGCCAAATTAAATACTATTACAGTTCTACTATTCCTTGCAGTGAACCTGGACGGGCCATTGCATCAGTTTGAAGTGAAGAATACTTTCCTCCATGGAGACCTCGAGGAGGAGATCTATATAGATGGTCCTCCAGCGTATGTGATGACCTCTGGTAAAGTTGTGTGTAAACTACAACAAACATCGTATGACTTGAAACAATCTCATCGAGCCTGGTTTGGACGACTTAGCCTAGCTATGAGAAAGTATGGTTTCGATAGAGTAATTCAGATCATACTCTTTTCTTGAAACATCGAGGAAATAAGATAACATCATTGATAGTGTATGTAGATGACATGATTATTACATGAGATGATCAGGATGAGATCTCAAGACTCCAAGAACAATTGGCGGCTGAGTTTGAAATGAAATCGTTGGGATGGCTCGAGTATTTTCTAAGAATTGAGGTTGCTAGGTCCAAGCAAGACATATTTCTTTCTTAGTGAAAATATACTCTGGACCTATTATCAGAAGTTGGATTACTGGAATGTAAACCCGCAGATACACCAATTGTCCAGAATAAAAAACTTAGAGAATATCTCGACCAAGTACCAACAGACAAAGGAAGTTACTAGAGATTGGTTGGAAACTCATTTATCTCTCACATACACGACCCGATATTAGTTATGCATTAAGTGTGGTTAGTTAATTCATGCATTGCCCAAGTGAAGATCATGTGGATGCAGTGATCCAAATCTTTAGGTAACTAAAAGTCATCCCTGAAAAGGGACTTATGCTTTCAAAGAACAATCACCTTAAGATTGAAGGCTATACCATAGTTATCAAAATCGGACTGGACTGTTCGAACCACCTATGATTTTAACTATGCTGCTGACCCGATAAAAATCCAAAGGAACCGCTGGCCCAATTATGAAGAAACCGCCCGATCTACAAACGTTTATATAAAAACCAATTATCTTCTCCTTCACATTCAAAAATCAAATTCGACGCCCTACCTGTAGAGAGTAGCCTCTCAGCCATCCCCTGCAACTTGCAATTTAACTCCCAAAAATCCAAACCTTCAAATTTCAAGTTATATTAGATGGAAGAAGAAGATGTAAGTTTAAATTTTATGATTTTGTTTATAAATTTCAGTTTTTTGTCAAAGTATGCGTAAAATATATATCTCCAGATTGGTAATTTTTGAAAGAATTTTAATGCCCTACTGAATTCTGTATGCTTTATTGATTCAAAGCCCTACTTGTCTGAATTTCATACTTTATTGCATAGTTTATCATGCCCTACCTGTGTTAGGTGGAATTCCTTTTACCTGAATTTCATGCGAAAACTATATCTCAATGAAGTATGAATGAATTACATTCAGATGACTAGTTGATTTTCTGAATTAATTAAGTTCAGATGACTGTTTGATTTTCTCATGTATTCAGAAAATCATTTATGAGATTAATGGTTCAGATGACTAGTTGATTTTCTGAATTAATTAAGTTCAGATGACTGTTTGATTTTCTCATGTATTCAAAAAATCATTTATGAGATTAATGGTCAATCTCTTCCAAACTGCTGCAAAATGGTTTATGAGATTAATGGTCAATCTCTTACAAATGAATTAAGTTCAGATTATCTGGTCAATTTTGTAAGTTAGATTAAGTTTAGCTGGGTGATTTTCTCATCTATTAAAAATTGCTAGGAACAAGCTATTACCGATCATTATCATCCACCATACAACTATGATGGTTTACACTTTCATTAAGTTAGGAAATGCTTCCATTTCCATTAGAATTAGGTGGAATTCCCACTGCTCTGGTTTTTCAAATGTTGGTTTAGTCACTGACTATTGCTAATTTAACTAGGCCATACAAGGTTGTGGAAGTAAAAAAGTTCAATTGAAATTATGGAAAAAACAACAAGTGAACTGGAGAACCGGTTGACTACACTGGTTAGACCAATTAGCCTATTGGTAGTATGCTTGACCCCAGTTGTTGTGTTTCTTAAGATTCTCAATTACTAGGCTATGCGTAGTAGTTCTTGTTGATGAAAGTAATCCATGACATGCTATAATTTGCTAAATATATTATTTTCCCAGTCTTTGAATGCTTCATTTTTATGCTCCTGTTAATGAATTTCAGTTTCTTCATCTACATCTTAGTTTTTGTGAACAAAAATGTCCCATGGTGTTATCACATTTCACAGTTAATGCGGACTATGTCTGAATAACCAATCAATGCGGATGATTTTGCAAGTTGGTGGATTTTTCATAGTACCAATGTTAAATATTAGTCATGACTTGTATATATGAGGTCACCACTTGATAAGTAATGCACCCTATGAATTAGTTCTTATTACTATTAGAATATCATTCATTGGTGAACACTAAATATTTGTAATTGAACTTCTTGTTTTCTTTGTATAGTTCAATGGTGTTAATAATGCCTCGTGCTAGAGGAAGAATTGATATAGCATGGTGACATTGTAGAGAGGTTTTAGAAACTGGTAATAATGGAAATTTAAAAAAAAAAAAAAAAAAAAAAAAAAAAAAAAAAAAATTTTTTTCTTTTAGGTGAAATGGTTTTTGGGGGGGGGGGAGTTTTTGGAAATTTAAAAAAAAAAAAAACTCATTTGCTTGTATTGTGGAAAGACTTTTGGTGGAGGTGGTATTAATCGAGTCAAACAACACTTAACGGGATTAAAAGGTGATGTAGATTCTTGTCGTAGAGTACCTCCTGATGTTAGATTTTAAATGAAAGAAAACTTGGACATCTTTGTGCAAAGAAGCGTAGAACTCGAGAAGTTCTTGATGAGTAGAACGCACATAGCTCTTATTATTGGGAACAAGAAGACCACACGTATAGACATTTGGGTGATGATGATGTTCAAGAGATTATCCATTCTAGTTCTCAAGGAAAGGATATAGCTATTGATAAAAGTCGAAGAAAATGAATGGGAGCTAAACATTTAAAAGAACAAAAAGGAGTTGGTTCTTACTTCATGCCAAGAACAGGACCTGGTAACCAACCTACTATCAAAAGTGTTCTCAGAGCAAAGAAGCTATAGAGAAATGTGATCTCACTATATCAAAATGGATGATTGATTCATGTATTCCTTTCAATGCTATAAATTCTGTGTATTATCAACAAAGTATAGATGTCATAGCTAGCATGGACCCTGGCTATAAAAGTGCGAACTTTCACAGTCTCGACTAAAAATGTCGATGAGGTACAAAATTATGTTGAAAGCTATCGTTTAATGTGAAAGACGACTGGTTGTACAATTATGGCATATGGTTGGAGACATCAGTGTAAAAGAAATCTTATTAATTTTTTAGTTTATTGTCCAAAAGGAACAATTTTCTTAAAATCCATGATGCTTTAGATGAATGAAAAAGTGCTGATATGTTATACAAGTTATTTCGAGATGTTGTGTTATTTGTAGGATCATAATATGTGGTCCATATGGTGACGGACAATGCTGTAAACTATGTTGACTCTGGTAGGTTATTGAAGCGAGAGTTTTAAATATTGTTTTGGTCTCCATGTGCAGTTTATTATATTAATCTAATGTTTTGTGATATTGGTAAGCTTGATGAAGTTAGTAATGTCGTATATCAAGCATCAAAAATCACAAAATACATATACTACCATTGCTACCCATTGCATTTGATGAGAAAATTTACTGGAAGAAAGGAAATACTTCGACCCGCTCCTACTCATTTTGCTACTAACTTTATTGCTTTACAAAGCATATTGGCCCAAAAGGATCCGTTAAGAGCAATGGCGACATCTAAAAAATGGACTTTATCAGCATATGCAAAGGAAGGTAAAGGAAAGAGAATTGTTGATGACGTACTTGATTCTGTGTTTTGGAAAGAGTGTGCTACTATTGTGCATCTTACTGAGCCCCTCGTTCGTGTTCTACGATTGTTGATAGTGATGAAAAGCCTTCGATAGGCTACTTGTATCAAGCTATTCATGTGGCAAAAAGTGAGATGGAGCGCATGTTTCAAAGAAAGAAGAATAGAGTGGCTCCTTACTTGCAAATTATTCAGAATTGATGGGATAGTCAATTACATAAAAATCTTCATGCCGCTAGGTATTGGTGAAACCCTTCTTTCCAATACAATAATCCTGATATGGAAAATTATAGACAAACTATTTCAGGACTTTTAGATGTAATCGAGAGATATGCTTAGGGTCAACCTGATTTAAGAAGCAAATTGACTAGTGAAATGAGATTATTTAGGCAAGCACATGGTGACTTTGGATGTTTATTTGCAGTAGCTAATCGTCTAGAATGGCTTCTGGTAAATTGTTATTCTCATGTTATGTACTTTATTATGTTATATAATTCAGATTTTAGTTTATGTAACATATGCCTATTTTATTTCTCTTTCTTTTGGTACAGATGAATGGTGGATGTGTTATGATAGTAGTGCACCAAATCTACAAACTCTTGCAATTCGAGTATTAAGTCAAACATGTAGTTCTTCAGGTTGCGAGAGAAATTGGAGTATGTTTGAACATATTCATTCTAAAAAGAGAAATAGACTCGAGCACCAAAAGCTTAATGATCTTGTTTATGTTCACTACAATTTACGATTGCAACAATGGTATATTATTTAAATAAATCCTTTAATCCTTTTGTGAATTTTTCTAATTAAGATTTTGATTTCTTGTACCAGAATTATATTTTGATTAATTATAAATTGGATAATAAACTTTGTTTAGGAATTATTTCAAAAGTCGAAATTATGATCCTATCGACTTTGAAAGGTTTGGCATTTATGGCAATTAGGTATTAGAGGAGAAGCCACCAAATTAGGTGGATGATGAGTTGGAGACATTTCATCGTGATTTGGGTGCATGTTCTATACAAAATGATAAAAATAATGGTAACTGTTTGACCGACGCTATTATTTTTACATTTTATTAAAGTATATTTGATGTAATGTTGAAATTTAAAATTATTTTCAGATGAATTACATTTTGATGATCTTGATCTTGATTGTGATGGAAATGACGACAATGGAAATGGTAATAGAAATTATACAAACAATGGAAACGAGGATTTTAGTATGACTGAGACTCCATCATTGGTACAAGGCGAAGGAATTGAAGAATTTATGTTCGAGACCCCAGCATTGATGCATTCTAACTCTTCTTAATTTAGAAGATATTGATTTATTTCAAAATTTCAAATAATTTACTTTGTTAACATGGTCTTTATCTACGTTTAACTTTTAATTGATAGTTTTACTTTTGCAAGAATATTATTAAAGTATATGAAGCTATCTTGTTGAACTTTTCCATATAAAGTATATGTTTTTATATGAATGATTGTTGTGTTTATTGTTTCAAATTCATATTTCACTATATATGATCTAGAATTTGTGAAATTAGGCTACAAATTAATATTTAGTTAACAAAACAATGCGAGGTTAATTTAGTTATGAAATAAATTTATCATTAAATGAAAATAGTTAATATTATTTTTTATAGGAATTGACCCGTCGATTGAACCACTGATCGGTTGATACACTGTATTGTTCGGGTTGGGTCTGATAACTATGGGCTACACAGATGCTAATTGGGGTGAGAATATTTTCGATAGAAAGTCCACCTTGGGGTATTTTACATTTGTTGGGGGAAACTTGGTGACATGGAAAAGTAAGAAACAAAAGTTAGTAGCTCTATCAAGTGCAGAAGCGGAATTCTGTGGGATGGCTTAAGGTCGTTGTGAACTGTGGTTAAGAAGACTATTAACAGAAATTGGCTTCACTTCAAACCGTGAGATGGATCTCTACTGTAACAACAAGGCTGCTATTGATATCTCTTATAATCAGTCCAACATGATTGAACAAAACATGTAGAGGTGGATCAACACTTTATCAAAGAGGACCTTGAAGCCAAGATAATTCGATTCCCGTTTGTCAAGTTTGAAGATCAATTGGCAGATATTCTTACCAAAGTCGTGTGTAGCGAGAACTTTCACAACTCACTTGACAAGTTGGGTATTAGAGATCTATATGCACTAATTTGAGGGAAGTGTTGGCATGAGCTGTAAAATAGAGTTAATTGAGGCTGTAATATTTTAATTAGAGTAGTAATTTTTTCTCTAATTATAGTTTTAACATAATTAACTGGAGCAGCTAAATATAGACTTACTCGGCTACTATATGTGTTTCTCCATCTCTGTATTATTGAAATGTACCAGAAAATTGCAGAAATATACCCTACAAACTATCATGAATGATACAACTCATTTTAAAATCGATTATTATATAATTCCATTGTTCTTCGTGCAATTGGAGGAGCAGTGTCCATGATATACGTTTGGTGCTGAAAACTGAGGTTGAAAATATTGGGATGACAAATGTATTAATTGTTCGAAAATCGTGCTTTTGTCATTGCAATTTCTTCTAGTTTTTAGTTCACAAAATCAATACTAATTGCCATTTTTGACTTTTTGGACGTTAGGACAATGCTAATGGAAATCAGCAAATTCCAAAGTGCTGTACGTGAGTTCGAGTGCACGCGCGTCATTGGAAATTTGTTGTTATCATGTTATCGTAAAATAGTAATTCTTTTTAAAATATTAATTGCAAAATTTAACAGTAGGTTTAAGATTTAAAGAGATCAAACCGTTTGTTTGAATTTTTTATACTTTGATATTGCATTGTCTTCAAATTTAAAAGATGAAAGTAATGATCCAAACTTATATATTTTCATTATTATTATTATTATTATTATTATTATTATTATTATTATTAT